CCAGTTGTCCTTTATGATTGGAGCCTTATTTCTCCCTCACTGAAGAGTGTACAGTGAAAATCAGAAGGAAGCAACCACTGATCCTGTGGCGTTGTGAGAACTAACCTAAACTCCGACCCCTAGTGCATTGTGTGCATCTTTGTCCTTCTTTTTAGAAGGCCCTAGTATCTGTTTTTTTTTTTTTTTAAGTGGACTTGCAAGAACTTGTTGCCTTGCTACTTCTCGTGACCTCCACAAAAACACTGTTTAGAAAAGAAGAGATGTCCTCCAGATATTTAGTGTTCTCGGGGATATCCCATGCTATCCCATCCCATCTTCACGCTATCCAAGTTTCTCCATAAAAAAAGCATAAAAGACATCCCCTAGATCAGGGGTGGGCAACTGTGGCCCTCCAGCTGTTGGTGAACTACAAGTCCCATCATGCCTCTTCCTTTTGGGAGTCATGCTTGTAACTGTCAGTTTTGCAATGCCTCATGGGATTTGTAGTTCTACAACAGTACCCCTGCCCTATATTATTTTTTTTAGCTTGAGAGAAAGAGGACATGCTGTGCACCTTGCTGCCTCTGCAACAACTTTTGAGAAAGAACCAGTTATGATTTAGAAGATCCTGAAGGTGGAAGCGCTACGCTTGCGAATATTTTTTCAAATGCATAAAAGTCTTTTTATGTTGGAACCCGGCACCCTATGCCATTCGTTTGAAATCCCTTTGCCGATCAGCGTAGAAAATAACAAACAAAAAAAAATGTCCAGAACTGATTTTTAACAGTCAGCTCATGGACTTCAATGGGGTTTGACTTGAGCACCTGAACTTTAATCATGTTTGCTGAACTCGCCTCACATGGACTCTCAGGTGCGTTTGACTCATCCCTAGTAATTAGCAAGTTTTGTCTCGGCGGCGGCGGCGTCTTTGCGAGGACTGCGCTCACATCTGCGTTACAGTGACATCGAAGGTGAAATAATCAAATAGACTAAAGCAGACGCAGAAAGTCCTCGGATATTCATGGCTCATCCTTTAATGGACTAAGCCTTTCACAGGAGACGTTCTGTCTTTATGAGGTCGACAAATAATGATCCGCGGCGGGTCTCAGATGACGCTAGGAGAATGTATTATATAAGCCTTTCATCTCTTGATGGACTTCTGAATATCAAAGGCAACAGAAGAAAATACGAACAGCCAATCCGATGTAAAATTCTCTTTGTACAATGTTCAGGAAAGTGTTTTATCTATCGTCTCTACACCATTTCTCTGATCTCAGGTCATTAAGATGTATCCTGAGCTGCTGGGTGTCACAGAAGTTTCTTTGTTGCTCTATAGCTCATGCTGATTTTTGATTGGTTGCTGTAAGTTACTGAGGAACACAAAAGGACGCTTCAAAGTGCAGTGAAATCAATTTATTAACAAAAAACAAATAAACCACTCACATGTAGAAGAATAAAAAACACGTCATAAGCTCTGTGGCCATCATCCAAAAACCCAGGCAGTATTAAGATGATAGGGAGCAGATCCCCTCTGACAGCATCGGAACTAGACCAATGATGTCACACGCCGGGAGGCTTGAAGGGCGGTAACTACGTGTTTCAAGACAGTAGTGCCTCTTTCTCACGGCTTGAGAAAGAGGCGTTACTGCTTTGAAACACTTAGCCACGCCCTGTTCACACCAGAGCTTGGATATCCTCTCTTATTGGCAATTTCTGATCCCTGTCATCTTTGCACTGCCTGGGTTTCTGGATGATGACAACCGAGCTTATGATATGCACTTTTTACTCTGCTACATGTGAGTGGTTTATCTGATTTTTATTAATAAATTGATCTTACATACTACACTTAGAAGCGCCCTCTTGTGTTTCTTTGCATTGCCACAGATATTCCTCCTATCTGTCGAGGAGCTGCACTTACTGAAGCCAGCTGGGCCTACCCGTTATATAGCCTACGTGCAGGGGTGGACTGACCGTTTGGAAAGTCGGGCACTGCCCGAGGGCCCGGGGTCAGTAGGGGGCCCCATGAGATGCCCCTGGTAACTTTTTCATAGGCTTTTTTGAGTTTGGGCAAGGACACAGGGGCCCCATGATCCCCTATTGCCCGGGGCCCCATGAGTTGTCAGTCCGCCCCTGCCTACGTGGTTACATAGTTAGTCTGGCTGAAAAAAGACAAAAGTCCATCCAGTTCAACCATAAATTGTCATTTATGTTATGTGGTCATTATGAACTTTTCAGCTTGATCCTTTGTCATTTCCTGCTTGCGTGATTGGCTAACTGTTTTTCTCAGGTTTCTGCACTAAGATACATGTCACATTTTAGGCACCCCCTGCAACATAAATTTCAGTTTTGGTGAGATACTCCATACTCTTCTAAAGGGATACAGACCCTGCAACCTTCCTAATTAGAACACTACATTAGGAGTGGATCTGCTGATTATAATGAATCAGACCCTCCCGTTCAGAATCAGCCTGGTGAAACACATATTTCTTCACGGCAACAAATGAATCTGCTATAAAGTTTGTTAAAAAAATCCTTGCACTATAGATTGATAACCCAGAGCGGATTACTCTTTAAATGTGCAGTTTCTCTTTAAATGAATTTACATAAAATTGTATGATATCAAATACATTATATTAATATATAATATATTTCTATTTTATATATATATATATATATATATATATATATATATATATAATTTTCTGTTTACGAATGAAAATCCATTGAAAATAATGTCTCAGTTTTAAGAATTTTTTTTGCAATACGAAGTAAGTTTCCCCAGGATGCATTGCGCCTGGGAGGTTTATAGCACCGGCCCCATGCCTTTAAAGAGGACTTTATAAAGGATTTTGAACAGATAAGACTTTTTTTTACTTTTTTCTGACCTTCGGAATGGATTAAATGGTTTTCAACGCATTTACTAATTAATTTTTAATCATGTCCCTGTACAGTATTTATGCCTTTAAAAGGCACTTTATAAAGAGTTTTGAACAGATAAGACTTTTACTTTTTTCTGATCTCCGGAACAGATTAATTGGTTTTCAATGCATTTACAAATTTTTTTAAATCATGTCCCTGTACAGTATTTATGCCTTTAAAGTGCACTTTTTAGAGTTTTGAACAGATAAAAAACTTTTTTTCTGACCTCCAGAACGGATTAATTGGTTTTCAATGCATTCCTGTGGGAAACCACGTTTTGGTTTACGAATGTTTCACAATACGAAACATCCAGGAGAAGGCATTAAATTTGTAGACCGAGGTACGCCTGTATATATATATATATATATATATATATATATATATATAAAAAACACACACATATATATATTATTATACAGGATTTATATAGCGCCAACGGTTTTCTCAGCGTTTTACATTATAGTGGGAGACAATACAGTAACAATACAGTTCAATACAAGAGGGGTTTGAGGGCCCTGCACTTTGGAGCTTACAATCTAGGATATATATATATATATATATATATATATATATATATATATATATATGCCTGTTTGTTGCAGAGATCAAGTTAACATTCCACAAACAACTAAAATGTGACTTCTCCCCCTACCTCCAGTGTCCTGGAGATTCAATTACACATACACAGTCTGAAAGCAAATAGCTTGTGCTGTGATCTCTCTTTAGAAATCTCACCTCTATCACACTTTGCACCCAGTATTACAATGTATGTCAAGGGACAAAAATTAAATATTTATGTCAGCACTGCAATAAGGGCACCCATAGATCTACCAGAAATGAAGTGTGTTCCTAACCTTCTAATTGGACTAACAACACAGTGTTTGATTCAGCAAATAAGCCGTTTACTTTTTTCTTTAGCTCAGTTAATGTGGTGAAAATTTACTATGCAAAGAATACCCAATCACCCAAAAAAAAAACCCAGCATTTTTGCTTCCACGTGATTGGCCGATGGAAGATGGCAGATTTAGTAAATCAACCCCAGTGCCTTTGATTTGCTTAAATTTCAACCAGAGTTGCCAGCCCTTCCTGCTGGTTTGGCATTAAATTTGGGTAAACAATGGACATATGCATTAAAGGGTCTATTTATGAAAAAAGTATACTTGCCATTATGAATAATCCCCATGATGTGTCATCATCTCCATCTAGTGGCCATAATGCTGCAGTTTCCTCATTGCGGTATTTAAGGAAAATACCACATTATGGCCACAAGACGGAGCTGCTGAAGATAATTGGAAATACACATGAGGCACATTATGAAGATTTTTTTGTGACTGTGAATGCCAAAGTATTCGCAGATCAGTTTTTTTTAAATAGACCCCTAAATGTTTATTTGTGAAATAAATATTTTACATAAATATTAAAAATTCACAGTTGTACAAAATATAACCTAAAATTGATCTAATTAATCAATTATAGTATCACCTTAGATTGAAATTTAAAATCCTGTCACTGTCAGGACTTGGTTCACCTGCTGTTGGCACTGTGGCTCCCAAAGTGGAAGGTTGTAGTTCTGGTGTCCACCAGCGGATGTCCCCTAGCAGCCAGAAGATCCCAGTTATTAGTCTCCACCTGATGTTGGCTGCTAGGAGGGTATTTAGTCCCTCCTCTACTATTACCCTTTGCTTTAGTGCTAGCCAGATTCTGCTTGCTAATTGATCCTGACCCCTGCTCCTGATCTTGCATCCTGTACCCTGGTGCCTCATATCTGCTACCCTTGTTCCTGATCCCAGTACTGGTTCCCCCTTCCTGTCTGTCCGCCAGTCACCGGTATTATTTTGTTTATCTGTGTTCCTCAGTTTGTATATATTGTCTTATAGTTAGGCTGCTTTTATTTTTGGTTTCCGGTTTACTTATAACTCCATGTTTGCTGTGTATTCTGTTTCCTAAGTATAGCTATGCAGATCTGACCATCTGCTGCTGGATGCCTGCTCTCGGTATCCCAACAGTCTTTAATTTTCTTGCCTATACTATCTATAACATAAGAGGGCTGCTATGCAGCTTAGACACATCTTTTGCATATTAAAACACCAACCATTACTCACTGTGACAGGATGTCAGCATGGTAGTAATAATCGGATAATTTATTCAGGAATGAGCGAGGCTCCAGTATAAAGGTTGGCAGCACGACTCTAGACAGGTCCATCCCCGGTCTCATTTGTTTAAGCAAAGTCCACATCAAACTTTTGTTTTCATCCGACACCGTCTCTGTCTGGGAAGCTTCTCCGACCTACAGACAGAACATAGAAAAGCTTAGATCTGACCAGAACATTTGCTATCTATCAGATACTCAGAATGTCCAAAAGTATTTAGTCCCCCCTCCAAATAATTGTGTTCACGTGTTTCCAGTAAAGGGTACTGATAATGCTAGAGCATACAAAGACATTTTATACAATTGCATGGTTCCAACCTTGTGGTAACAGTTTGGGGAAGACTTTTTTTCTGTTCCAGCATGACCATGCTCCTGTGCACAAAGCAAAAAAACATGGTTTGATGAGTTTGGTGTGGAGGAACTTGAATGGTCTGCAGCAAGCCCTGACCTCAATCCTGCTGAACATCTTTTGGATGAATTGGCCAGGTCTTCTCCTCCAACTGAGGGCGCACCGGCCTAGTGCATTAGTGCGCCCTCTGTTTTTCTCTACTCAGTACATTTGGACTTCACGGGTCATTTGAGGGCAGCAAGGTGTGCATATCCCAAGAAATTTGTGATGTGGTCCTATCCATACAGAGTTCATCCCTAAGCGCAGGAGTATCTGGGTTTTACCGTTTCTTCTCATCCAACACCAGAACCTGACCTCACAAACACTCTTTATGGCTGAAATGAGATTTTTGTGGAAAGCCTTCCAACAACAATGGAGGCTGTTATGACCACAAAATTTGGGCAACTCCATGTTAATGCCCATGGTTTTGGAATGGTATGTCCAACAAGCATAGAGTGTGGTGGCCAGGTGTACACAAACCTTTGGCCATATAGTACTTGTAGTTGCAGTGGTATGGACACTTAATGGGGCTATACTTCTATTGATTTACATAGTGTCCAAACCTCTTAGAGGTGGAGGCTAAATCCATACTTTAAAACAGCCTTTCTCAATCTTTTCAACACAGAGGAACCCTTGACATAATGTTGTGGTCTCAGGGAACCGCTGCTAAAAATTACTACTATATCTGCAACACATAATATATTAATGTGATGGATAGTGGAAAGAATCATCCTCTTACAGACAGCTAAAAAGATCATTGGTGGGAACTTATCTGAGCAGCAGAAATTGCTTGTTGCTCAAGGAACCCCTAGAAACCTCTGGAGCAGGGGCAGACTGACAACTCATGGGGCCCCCGGGCAATAGGGGATCATGGGGCCCCTGTTTCCTTGCCCAAACTCAAAAAAGCCTATGAAAAATGTACCAGGGGCATCTCATGGGGTCCCCTACTGACCCCGGGCCCTCGGGCAGTGCCCGAGTTTCCAAATGGTCAGTCTGCCCCTGCTCTGGAGGAACCCTGGTTGAGAAACCCTTCTTTAGTCTTCGGTCACACTGAAACCAACTTTGAAATCAAGTCAAGATCTCAATGTTGGATGTCAGTGCGACTTCAGGTGCGCTTTGGAAGACATCTGTCCGACTTCATGCACAGATGTCTATGAAAGTCACACCTGAATTTGCAAAAAGTAGTACTTGAACTACTTTCAAAATCTTTCGGAGTCACACCATTTTGACCTCTTCCATTGCAGACAATAGAGTGTGACTTGTCATGCGATTTGAAACTATCAAATCGCATGACAAGTCGCACAGGTGTGACTGGGGACTTAAAGAATAGAGTCATGTATCCTCCAATGAATGCTGGCAGAAGCCAAAACTATCTGTGTCCAGCTGGCTTTACATATTTGTTACCTTTAAAGTGTAACTACACCCTCCTATCCTTTATATCCAAGAAAGTTGCCCTCTTAAGGCCTGTACACACGATCAGAAAATTGTACGAACAATACTGTTTTTGAAGCAATCATTCGATAATCTGATCATTAGTACACAGCTTTCGAGAGTCGATCAGGACAGGTCTAATGGGACAAGCACGAAAATGTTTCTCGTATAATACCAGATCATACATTTTTCATTTGATCAGAACAGATTTCATCCGAAAATCCACTGCTCAAAAAAATGAAAGGAACACTTTGAAAACCCATCAGATCTCAATGGGGACCAATCTCCTGCTGGATATCTATACTGATATGGACGGGGTAATGTGTGAGGAACGTAAGGATGACCCATCGTTTGATGGAAATGAAAATGATCGACCTACAGAGGACTGAATTCAAAGACACCCTGAAAATCAAAGTACAAAACTGATGCAGCAGGCGAGTCCATATTGCTGAAATGTCATTGCAGCAACTCAGAATGGTCCTCAGTAGTTTGTGGGCCCCCATGTGCTTGTATGCATGCCTGACAACGTCGGGGGACATGCTCCTAATGAGACCACGGATGGTGCCCTGGGGGATTTCCTCCCAGATCTGGACCAGGGCATCACTGAGCTCCTGGTCAGTCTGAGGTGCAACCTGGCGGCGTCAGATGGACCCAAACTTGACATCCCAGAGGTGTTCTATTGAATTTAGGTCAGGTGAGATGGGGGCCATTCAATGGTATCAATTCCTTCATCCTCCAGGAACTGCCTGCATACTCTCGCCACATGAGGCCGGGCATTGTCGTGCACCAGGAGGAACCCAGGACCCACTGCACCAGCGTAGGGTCTGACAATGGGTCCAAGGATTTCATCCCAATACCTAATGGCAGTCAGGGTGCCATTGTCTAGCCTGTAGAGGATTGTGCGTCCCTCCATGGATATGCCTCCCCAGACCATCACTGACCCACCACCAAAACGGTCATGCTGAACCATGTTACAGGCAGCATAACGTTCTCCGAGGCTTCTCCAGAGCCTTTCACATCTGTCACATGTGCTTAGGGGGAACCTGCTCTCATCTGTGAAAAGCACAAGGTGCCAGTGGTGGACCTGCCAATTCTGGGGTTCAATGGCAAATGCCAGTCAAGCTTTTTTGGTGCCGGGCAGTGAGAACCGGGCCCACTAGAGGATGTCGGGCCCTCAGGCCACCCTTATGAGGTCAGTTTCTGATTGTTTGGTGAGAGACATTCACACCAGTGGCCTGCTGGAGGTCATTTTGTAGGGCTCTGGCAGTGCTCATCCTGTTCCTCCTTGCACAAAGGAGCAGATACTGGTCCTGCTGATGGGTTAAGGACCTTCTATGTCCCTGCCCAGTTCTCCTAGAGTAACTGCCTGTCTCCTGGAATCTCCTCCATGCTCCTGAGACTGTGCTGGGAGACACTGCAAACAATTGCAATGGCACGTATTGATGTGCCATCCTGGAGGAGTTGGACTGCCTATGCAACCTCTGTAGTGTCCAGGTATGGCCTCATGCTACAGTAATGACACTGACCCTAGCCAAATGCAAATCAGTGAAAAACAGTCAGAAAAGATGAGTAGGGAACAAAATGTTAGTGGCCTCTACCTGTAAAACCATTCCTGTTTTGGGGGTCATCTCATTGTTGCCCATCTAGTGCACCTGTTGTTAATTTCATTAACACCAAAGCAGCTGAAACTGATTAACAACCCCCCACTGCTACTTACCTGACCAGATCAATATCACAGAAGTGTCATTGACTTGATGCTACACTTTGGTTATAATGTGTTCCTTTAATTTTTTTCAGCAGTGTACAATACAAATACATTACATTCATTTTTATTCTGTCCTATGAGTTTTTTCATAACTTTAGTAACCTATTTATTTTCGCTCATTCGTCTGATAATCTCATCTTGTGTACGAGGCTTTAGACTCTGTTTTATCTGCGATTGCCATAGTGAGCACATGTGATCAGCTATGACACCAGCCATTTGATGGCTTGACAGTTCAGAAGAGAGCTTAAAGTGGAACTTCACTCTCTCATCCAACATTTTTTAATAGTTAGTAATAGTTAATAGTTCTAATCCATATACTGCTAGCATTTGTAAATAGATAGGAAAGTATATCATATTTACGCGTTTAAAACTTTTTTTTTTACATTTCTTTAGTTACTTCCTAGTTTCCTGCCTAGGTAAATGATGTCTTACATCCCATGAGTCTTCAGGAGGGGAGTGAGGATTCTCAGCTTGCATTAAGGGCAGATGGATTCCAGGAAGTAAATGTTACATGAATCATCTGCCCTTACTCAAGATGGCCACAACCAAAAAAAAAAGTGATTCTCAGATAAATAAAGCACGGAGACATGGATGGATAGGAGAAGTTTGCTTTGAATATTAACAAGGATGTAAATAGGATTTTTGGTTTGTGGTGCTCAGATGCAGTGCAGTTCCACTTTGAGCAACTATGGGGTTTATTTACGAAAGCTGGAGAGTGCAAAGCAAAATCACGCTCACTTCTGCCTAGAAACCAATCAGATTCCACGTTTTATTGGCAAATCTTAAAGCGGAGCTCCACCCAAAAGGGGAAGTTCCGCTTTAATGCTTTTCCCCCCGCTCCCCATTAAGGATTGACACCTTTAGGGAGCGGGGGGAGCGAGTACCCGAATTTGACAGGTACCCGCTATCACTTCTGCTGTGATCGCATAGGCATTCAAAAGCAGAAGTTGTCCTCATCCCCTCCCTCCCCGTAGTCTTCTGGGACATGTGACAGGTCCCAGAAGACTACGGGGCCATTCACAAAGCACAGAGCTTCTCACGCATGCGCAGTGGGTACCTGGCTGTGAAACCGCAAGCTGTCACAGCCAGGTGCCCACACTGAAGATGCTGGCGCCAGGAAGAGAAGACAGCCGGTGAAACCAGCGGTGGTGATGAACACCGTTGACCCGAGGGACAGGTAAGTGGCTGTATTTTAAAAGTCAGTAGCTACAGTTCTTGTAGCTGCTGATTCTTTTTTTTTTTTTTCAGCTGAAATTCCGCTTTAATTGAACAGGCTGAAGTTAGAAGCTTATTGGTTTCTATGCAGAAATGAGCCTGATTTTGCGCTCTCCAGCTTTAGTAAATAAACCCTTATGACAGTTATCATTTACAGCAAGCCTTGAAAGCAACTGTTTTAAGAGACCTTTAAATTGATGGGTTCAATTCCCCTTTTAATGAATGTGATAACAGAGAAGCAGCGCTTAAACAGGAAACACACTTGATTCAGCAGTGGGATCCAAGGTGGATGCCGGATCAAGAACCGGCAACACCAAAATCCTCATAAAAGCTTAATTAGTGATACAGGAGTGATATAAAGCACGCCGACGCGTTTCAGCATGATCATAGCATAGTGCCTAATAAAAGAAGAGACAGTTTGTCAAACGACCCCCAAACACTGAATTCAAGCCACAGTACACTGTGAAGACAGTGAAGCATGGTGGTGCAAGCATCATGATATGGGGATGTTTCTCATACTACGGTGTTGGGCCTATTTATCGCATACCAGGGATCATGGATCAGTTTGAATACATCAGAATACTTGAAGAGGTCATGCTGCCTTATGCTGAAGAGGAAATGCCCTTGAAATGGGTGTTCCAACAAGACAACGACCCCAAACACACCAGTAAACGTGCAACATCTTGGTTCCAGACCAACAAGATGGATGTTATGGAGTGGCCAGCCCAATCCCCGGATCTTAATCCAATAGAAAACTTGTGGGGTGACATCAAAAATGCCGTTTGAGGCAAAACCAAGAAATAGAGAAGAACTGTGGAATGTGGTCCAATCATCCTGGGCTGGAATACCTGATCACAGGGGCCAGAAGTTGGGTGACTCCATGCAACACAGATGTACAGCATTTTTCAGAAACAGTGCGACTACAACCAAATATTCATGAAGTCATTCAAAGGAAAGCAAAATCTTCAAACATTTCTCAGTTTATATAGTGAATGTTTGAGTTTGTAAAGAAGAATACAAACACTGCTTTTTTTTTGAACCGTCTAATATTCACTTTTCTTCAATTTTTTTAGAGGAACAACACAAATTTGATGTATTTTTCTTCATGTTTTGATTTGGAATAGAATGTGTCGTGTTCCCAATGCATTTGTGTGGATGGAAATAAAAGCTATTAGAAGGATTTTGAGCTTTATTCACTTTTTTCAACACACTGCTATTATTTTGAACACAACTGTATATATATATATATATATATATATATATATATATGTGCATACACAAAGGTCCACCCAATAGAGGACGGGTCGGATCAATTAACACAATGACATAATTAAAAACAATACGAGCAAGGACCAAATAAGTGACACAGATTTGGCAATATAAATGGCAGATCCAAAACTCAAATCCTCTCATTAACTCGATACCTATAGAGATGGAAAAAAGAAGATGGGAAAAAGATAACTGAGACCATAGGATGTCTAATATAGCGCTCTATTTTAAAAAGAGATCCACATCCCATCTTAAATTCATACCGACTGGACTTCTAGTACCTAGGGTGAAAATCCACCAAACCTCAATCTCTCAGACAACTTGCGATGGAAGTCACCATCATGAAGAGATTTTTTTTTTTATCCCTTTCCATCCTACAGAAGGAAAAGGATTGCATATTGCCTGCATGTACATGTTTAAAATGTCTAGAGACCTGAGATGTATTTCTTTCCTCCATATAAATGGCCCCATTATAATGCTCCCCGATCCTAATGCGGAGAGACCTGGCTGTGCACCCAACATATTGTATCATGCATGCAGTGCACTCAATGAGATAAATGACATTTTTGGTTCTGCAGTTAATAAATTGCTGAATTTTATGTTCTTTCCCGGTGGATCGGGAGATTACTGTTTTGTGGTTGCTGCTGTGTTTGCTACAGTATTTTTAAAAATAGATAGATATATTACACATCCTATGGTCTCATTTATCTTTTTACCATCTCTACAGGTATTAATTTATTGTGACGATTGGAGTCTTGGATCTACCATTTATATTACCAAACCTGTGTCACTTATTTGGTCCTTGCTCATATTGTTTTTAATTATGTGATTGTGTTAATTGTTCAGACCCGTCCTCTTTTGGGTGGAGCTTTGTGTATGCACATATCCACATATATACACTATATTGCCAAAAGTATTGGTCGGCCGGCCTTTACACGCACATGACCTTTAATGGCCCCCCAGTCTTAGTCCGTAGGGTTCAATATTGAGTTGGCCCCGCCCTTTCCACGCACATGAACTTTAATGGCTCCCCCAGTCTTAGTCCGTAGGGTTCAATATTGAGTTGGCCCGCCCTTTGCAGCTATAAGAGCTTCAACTCTTCTGGGAAGGCCGTCCACAAGGTTTAGGAGGGTGTCTATGGGAAGGTTGGACCATTCTTCCAGAAGCACATTTGTGAGGTCAGGCACTGATGTCGGGGGAGGAGGCCTGGCTCACAGTCTCCGCTCTTATTCATCCCAAAGGTGTTCTATGGGGTTGAGGTCAGGACTCTGTGCAGGCCAGTCAAGTTCCTCCACCCCAAACTGGCTCCTCCATGTCTTTATGGACCTTGCTTTGTGCACTGGTGTGCAGTCATGTTGGAGCAGGAAGGGGCCATCCCCAAACTCTTCCCACAAAGTTGAGAGCATGAAATTGTCCAAAATGTCTTGGTATGCTGACGCCTTAAGAGTTCCCTTCACTGGAACAAGGGGGCCAAGCCCAACCCCTGAAAAGCAAACCCCCGCCATAATGCCCCTCCACCACACTTTACACTTGGCACCAGGGGCAGACTGACCATTTGGAAACTCGGGCACTGCCCGAGGTCCCAGGCGTCAGTAGGGGGCCCCATAAGATGCCCCTGGTACCTTTTTCATAGGCTTTTTTGAGTTTGGGCAAGGACACAGGGGCCCCATGATCCCCTATTGCCCGGGGGCCCAATGTGTTGTCAGTACGCCCCTGCTTGGCACAATGCAGTCAGGTAAGTACTGTTCTTCTGGCAACCACCAAACCCAGACATGTCCATCAGATTGTCAAACAGAGAAGCATGATTGGTCACTCCAGAGAACACGTCTCCACCGCTCTAGAGTCCATTGGCAGCGTGCTTTACACCACTGCATCCAACGCTTTGCATTGTACTTGGTGATGTAAGGCTTGGATGCAGCTGCTCGGGCATGGAAACCCATTCCATGAAACTCTCTACGCAAGTTTGGAGGTCTTTAGCTATTGACTCTGTAGACAGTTGGCGACTTCTGCGCACTGTGCGCTTCAGCATGCGCTGACCCCGCCCTGTCATGTGACGTGGCCTACCACTTGGTGGCTGAGTTGCTGTTGTTCCCAGTTGCTTCCACTTTGTTATAATACCACTAACAGTTGAGCGTGGAATATTTAGTAGCCAGGAAATGTCACGGATGGACTTATTACACAGGTGGCCACCTATCACGGGACCACGCTTGGAGTCACTGAGCTCCTGACAGCGACCCATTCTTTCACCAATGTTTGTAGAAGCCGTCTGCATGCCTAAGTGATGATTTTATACACCTGTGGCCATGGAGGGGATTGAACACCTAAATCCAATTATTTGGAGGGCAGGGCCAATACTTTTGGCAATATAGTGTATGTGTATGTATATATATGTTATTTCTTTTATTAAGCACTATGCTATGATCAAGGATACTTGCCGAAATGCGCGCCATGTCACCCCTATATCACTAATAAAGCTTTCATGAGGATTTTGGAGTTGCCGTCTCTTCCTGCTTTTTGTATCAATTTCACGTTAACTACATACAACTACTCTGAATCACCATCGTACCTCCCCAAATTCCTCATACAGCTCTTCCATGTAGGTGGTCCCTTCCCGGTCCAACGAGATCTCTCCATGTAGCTCAGACTGGTCACTCTCGCTGGTTTTCCTGCTGTGCTCATTTTCTGATTCTTCTATGTTATCTCTTTCAGACTTGTCCGAGAAAGCATCATTTTCCGGAATGATTTCGTTAAGCCTAAAAATAATGTACATTTGTTCTGTGTAAATTGAGCAAAAAAACAAATGTTTAGGGGATTGTCTCTTCTGAACAAATGTTCTTTTATTATGGACAGTAGTAAAATACCACACTATGACCACTAGATGGAGCTGAGGAGCATAGGAAATGCATTTGTCTTTTTCAGTAATTCAATGTAACAATTGTAGAGAACACTAGAGGGAATGAGCAAATAAAATGTAACAATGCAAAAAAACCTGTTGTATAACTTTTTTAAAATGGCACTACGGAGTCATGTGCTAACATGCAGCAAAACACATATTTTGTCATGCGTCACCACACTGCATAAATGTAAATGTGCTTTAAATCTTCTGTAATGAAAAATTCAAGGTTTTTTTTTTTTTTGTTAGTTTTTAACAGATTGAAGGGGGATAAGACCCCTCTTAGGTTTTTATTGCTGTCCGTGTCCTGTTAGGGAGGTTCACCCTCTCTATTTGTCCAGTTTACTGTTATCATTGAAAGTGAAAGTAAAAGAAAATCCAAAATTTTGGGAAATCTACCAATGGGGACACTAGTTCTGGGGACCAGGGATTCCTACAGCTTGCAGGGATTTCCTCTCACTTTTTGGACTATGGAACAGGAAATGAAGAGAAATCTCTCAAATGGGACACAAATGGCAAAAAAAACCCTTCCTTATGCCGGCCATAGACGGGTCGAAAATCGGCCGATTTTCGCACCATTAGTGGGTTAATTGGTCAGCCGTTTTTCGGGCTTTTTGCACATTTTATTTATCGGGCATGTTGGAAAATTTGCGGCCGATTTTGACGATCGGCCAATTTTCTCGGCAATGATGGGCAAATCGGCTGATCGTTTTACCGATAAAAAATCTGCACCTGAACCGTGACCTGGAAGAAGAAGAAGAAAAAGAAGAAAAGAAGAAGAAGAAAAAGAAGAAGAATTCCAGTTCGCTATTATATTTTATATGAAAAAGTCTTGCGGTTACAACAATGTATCCATTTGTATCCAAATTAAAACATCTGCATCCGAAATAGATACAAATGGATACATTGTTGTAACCACAAGACTTTTTTATATAAAATATAATAGCGGACTGGAATTCTTCTTCTTCTTCTTCTGATTCTTCTTGTTCTTCTTTTATTATTTTTCTGTATTGCTCTCCTGTGTGCTCCCCTGTCTCTACAAGGGACAGAAGTAATTATGGGGTTAAATGCCGGCCATAGACGGGATGAAAATCGGCCAATTTTTTTTTACCGTTGGTGGTAATGTCGGCTGATCAAACAACCGATTTTTTTTTTTTTTTTTTAAAAACGGCTGATTTTCGACCCGTCTATGGCCAGCATTACTCTATCCAAAATTAAAACAATTGTCTATAGTTCAACTTTAAGAGTAAACTCCAGGCAAGCAGTTAAATATGGTGTTGAAATACATATATGAATGCTGTTTTACCTGCCAAAGGATTTGTATTTCTGTCAATCCACTCCTGAGATTTACACAGCTCTGCCACAAAGCACAGCTCTATATGGCAGGACAAGAGACCTTATTTTTCCCTGCTGTGATTAAAGTGGAGTTCCACCCAAAAGGGAAAGTTCCGCTTTAATGCCTTCTCCCCCGCTGCCCATTAGGGATTGGCATCTTTGGAGAGTGGGTACCCGAATTTGACAGGTACCCGCTCCTACTTCCGCTGCGATCACCTAGGCAATCGGAAGCGGAAGTTGTCCTCCTCCCCTCCCTCCCTGTAGTCTTCTGGGACACATGACAGGTCCCAGAAGACAACGGGGCCAATCACAAAGTGCAGCGCTTCTAACACATGCGCAGTGGGCACCCGGCTGTCAAGCCGCAAACTCACAGTCGGGTGCCCACACTGAAGATGCCGGTGCCAGGGAGAGAAGACGGCCCGTGAAACCAGCGGTGGTGAGGACACTGCAGGACCGAGGGACAGGTAAGTGGCTGTATTTTAGAAGTCAGCAGCTACAGTTTTTGTAGCTGCTGACTTTTTTTTTTTTTAGTTGGAACTCCACTTTAAAGTGGAGTTCCACTCACACTGTCAAAAAATAAAAGTCAGCAGCTACAAAAAAACTGTAAAATACAGCCACTTACCTGATCCTCGGTCCCGCGGTGTGTCCCCTGCAGCCCGTTTCACCGGCCATCCTGCATTCCAGGAGGCCGACATCTCCAGTGTGGGTACCCGGCTGTGATAGCTTGCGGCTTCACGGATGGGTACCCACTGCGCATGTGCGAGTAGCGCTGCGGTTCATGAATGGTCCTGTAGTCTTCTGGGACCTGTCACGTGTTCCAAAAGACTACAGGGAGGGAGGACTCCTTCCGTCTCTGATCACCTCGGCTATCAGAAGTGGGAGCGGGTACCTGTCAAATTCGGGTACCCGCTCACCCTCCACCCCCAAAGGTGCCAATCCTAATGGGGAGCGGGGGAGCAGTCCTTAAAGTGGAACATCCCCTTTTGGGTGGAGCTCCGCTTTAAGTAAAACTTATAGGTGTTGTCCCTCCCCCAGCCTGTAACTGGACAGTGAAAGGAGAAGCAGTAGACTGATGAGCTCATCTCTCTTCAATCAGCATGCTCCTTGCACTGCATTGACTTCTACTTGTATTTAAAAATGCATCTAATAATGTTTTAGTGAATAGAGAAATGCATTAACTTGTGTCTTTTAGAACTGTCTGGAGTCAGCCTATCACATGTAATTACATTTTGCTGTTGATTAACTGGAAATCTTACTGGAAGAGTTCCTGCTCGGAAACGGTTGACACTTGGAGCAGCGTATAAAGTCCGGTGTGATTTAAATCGGTCGGCGACACAACTTCACCGTCCTTTCCATGTTTAGGCAAATTAATCTTGAATAAACTGGAGCAGCGGAGAGCCAATTCAAGAGCATCCATCCAACATCGCCCTGAAATGCAAAAGGCAGGCATTTCAATTCTGCATATTAGATCAAACAGAAATAGAATTGGTGTAGCCGGCAAAAATAAACACATGAATATATTATTATTATACAGGATTTATATAGTGCCAACAGTTTGTGCAGCGCTTTACAAAATGTATGTAGTGGCCATTTACATATCAATATTCCCCTACTCTAGAGGGACATATACATTAAAGTGTTACTAAACCCCCGGACCCTGCATTCACTATATCCGGTCTCCCCAGACCCTGCATTCACTATATCTGGTCTCCCCGGACCCTGCATTCACTATATCTGGTCTCCCCGGACCCTGCATTCACTATATCCGGTCTCCCCAGACCCTGCATTCACTATAACCCCCCGCTCTCCCCAGACCCTGCATTCACTATATCTGCTCTCCCCGGACCCTGCATTCACTATATCCGCTCTCCCCGGACCCTGCATTCACTATATCCTCTCTCCCCAGACCCTGCATTCACTATATCTGCTCTCCCGGGACCCTGCATTCACTATATCCTCTCTCCCGGACCCTGCATTCACTATATCCGCTCTCCCCGGACCTGGCATTCACTATATCTGGTCGCCCGGGACCCTGCATTCACTATATCTGGTCTCCAGGGACCCTGCATTCACTATATCTGGTCTCTCCAGGGACCCTGAATTCATTATATCTGGTCTCCCGGGACCTGCATTCACTATATCCGCTCTCCCCAGACCTGCATTCACTATGAATCTGGTCTCCCGGGACCCTGCATTCACTATATCTGGTCCCGGGACCTGCATTCACTATATCTGGTCTCCCGGGACCGTGCATTCACTATATCTGGTCGGGGACCTGCATTCACTATATCCGGTCTCTCCGGACCCTGCATTCGGGGAGACCAGATATAGTGAATGCAGGGTCCGGGGAGACCGGATATAGTGAATGCAGGGTCCGGGGAGACCGGATATAGTGAATGCAGAGTCAGGGGAGAGTGGATATAGCGAATGCAGGGTCCGGGGAGACCGGGGATATAGTGAATGCAATGTCCGGGGAGACTGGATATAGTGAATGCAGGGTCCGGGGGAGACCAGATATAGTGAATGCAAGGTCCGGGGAGCTCGGATATACTGAATGCAGGGTCCGGGGAAACCGGATATAGTGAATGCAGGGTCCGGGGAGACCGTATATAGTGAATGCAGGGTCCTGGGGAGACCGGATATAGTGAATGCAGGGTCTCGGGGAGAGCGGATATAGTGAATGCAGGGTCCGGGGAGAGTGGATATAGTGAATGCAGGGTCCGGGGAGACCGGATATAGTGAATTCAGGGTCCGGGGAGACCGGATATAGTGAATGCAGGGTCCGGAGAGAGTGGATATAGTGAATGCAGGGTCCTGGGTTTAGTAACACTTTAATATTTCTAAGTAGGATTTATTAGCAGTGAAACCAAAATCCAACCAAACACCAGCAAACCGCAAACATAAAGATATAAGTGAACAAAAAACCTAGTGACAAAATACCTAACTAAACAACCTAACAGAGAAACAGAAAGCCTAACTAGCAAACTAACTATATACAATACATACAAATGGGGAACACAGGAAAACAGGGTAAAACTGGAGGTGCAGGGAAGATATAGGAAAGGGAAAACAAAACTGGGATCAAGAACAAAGGGGGTTAGGAACAAGGCAGCGGGGTCCAGGGTATAGGTACAAGGCAAAAAAGCACGATCAAAAGCAGGAAAGAATAAACGGCTAGCAGTACCTGGCAGCAAAGCAAAAGACTGAGGTGAGAGGCACTAGTAGAGGAGGGACTAAACATCCTCCCAGCAGCCAGCATCAGGTGCAGACTGAATACTGGAAACTGCTGGCTGCTGGGAGACACTGGAACTAAACCCACTCTGGGAAGCAGGTGATCCTGGTCCTAACAAATAGAGGGTTTTGCTTTCCACCGTGATCATTTTCAATCTTACCATCTGATTCAGACGCTGCTCGGAATATCAAGTGACTGCTAGGTAGAGGTAGAGTGATGGACCCGACATTCTCACCTTTCGGACCCTGAAACACACCATACAGGCGCTGTTACATTGGAAGGGGTACAAGCCATCAGTGGAGTTTTAATATTCATTGAACCTTATATACCTTCACTGCCCATATGGACTGATCCAGAGGGTGATAAAGTTTAAAACAGAAGCCATCTTTTTTGGTGGGTCTTTCAATCAGCTCACAGGAGTGGAGGAGTAACGTCCCCACCCATTGTCCAATCTTTGGTGTTTTATAAATCAGGAGCAGCCCCGGCTTTAGCACGCACCACAGTTTTGTCCAGCTTTTCAGTGATCCACGAATCTTAAAAAAAATAAATATAACACTAGTCAAAAAGTTACATGCATTATGTAATGTACAAAGTGTCTAGGCCCAAGTACATCCAACCACCGCTCCAAAATGGAGATTTTAGCCTCCCACAGCACCTTTTTATTAACAAATACCATACCAACGCAAACATCATATAAATACTTCACTCTAAGGCTTAGTTCACATTACTGCGTGCCGGGAACGTCCGCAAAATCGTGCATGTGGAGAAATGTACTGCTCCCTAGCAGACCACTGGGCAGCCATTATTTCTCAGTTTGTGGTTCAGTGTGGTGTGGCTTTAACCACTTCCGACCGACCCGGCCGTTGCATATAAACGGCCGGACGGTGGCACTGCAGGGTCGGATGGCCGTTTATGAACGGCCTCCCCGCACCCTGCTTGTGTGCGCTCCCTGGGAGCACGCAGCACTGCGATCCGGTGCCCGCTGTGTCCTCCGGACACAGTGAAACACCGATCGTCGGACGGGACCTCTGTACGAGGTCCCGATCATGTGATCACTGATTGGCCAATCAGTGATCACATGCAAAGTAGTAAGCAAGATGTCACTTCTGACATCATTGCTTACTACGTGTGAAATCTGTGAATGATCACCGAGGTCACATAGTACAAGGCTATTCACAACAGCCTTGTACCATGTGACAAGCTGTGACCAATCACAGCTCACTCAGTACTTCTCAATGGCTGCAAGAATGCACACAGAGAGAAAGAGAAATGGTTGCTTTTACATCCTATATGGGTGTAAAAGCAATCAGTGTAAAAAAAAAATCTTCATCACCCCCCCACAAGTAGTACAGTGTCACCATGGTGACACTGTACTGCTAGGGTGACAGTATGTAAAAAAAAAATAAAAAATAATAATATAAAAAAATAAAATAAAAATGTAAAAAAAAATGTTTAAAAATTATAATTTTTGGTTATAAACTAATTTTTTTTTTTTTTTACTAAAAAGACAACGCAATAAATTTTGGCAAAGATTTATGATGAAATATTATTTATTTGCAAAATTTTATAAAAAAAAACACTTTTGTTCAAAATTTTTGGACTTTTCATTTACATAGCAAAAAAAATATAAATCCCAGCGGTGAATAAATACCACCAAAATAAAGCTTTATCTGTCTCAAAAAAAATGGTAAAAAATTAATTTGGGTACAGTGTTGCATGACCGCGCAATTGTCATTCAAAGTGTGATAGCGCTGAAAGCTGAAAATTGCCCTGGTCAGGAAGGGGGTAAAAGTGTCCGGTCTGGAATAGAGAGAAAAGATGGCACCCACTAAGTGTAGCATTAAAATCATCCACTTTAAAATCATTGATTTTAATGCTACACTTAGTGGGCGCCCTCTTTCTCACTTTTTGTTCCATTACAGAAGCTGCTTTCTACTCTGAGATAGTTGCCCTAAGTGAGCATGTGGATAGCATTACAGGACTATTTGGTCAAGTTGAACATTCATGGACATTATAGACTTGTGCTACTTGCCCCTCTAGCATCATTTAAACTCTTGTGACTTTAAAAAAAGGGCCAGGAACGTCTTTCACTGCATTTCTTGTAAGTAGGTCAGCCGGATTAAAGGAATAGGCTTTTCTATATGTAACGTGTGCACAAAAAATGAGCACTCATAAGAACCTAGACTAATAGCCACCACATGCAAGGGGTCCATTTATGAAAAACATTGCTGTGTAACACTGTTCAACAGGTAAAAAGTTTTGGGCATAAAATTAGCTAATCTTACATAATTTTGGGGTGCTGAAAACGAAAATGACCCTAAAAAATGTTGATTGGCTCTAGTTTCCATGATATATTCACCCATCTAATGACGTAAGCCATTCAAAATTATGATGCAACTTCAGCTGCATATTGCGCAATTGATACTGGTGACCAATAGAAAATTGCATGTATACTGAGATGATGCAATATTAGCCTTTAATTGCATCACTTCACTGCATAAAAGCTGCAGTATCTGTAGCTGATTGTAGTTCGACAGCGTCTTTACATTTCGTTTTATGCTTATATAGGCTACTCAGTAATGCCTCGAACTTGTGTGAATAAAGCAGAAAATTTCTGCTATATCTGCGGTGAAATAACTTTTATCTCACAAAAAAGGAGGATAACAGGAATGATTAAGAAAGCCTACAACTTGTATTTTGGCTGCAAGATAGGAGACCAGGACAAGAGCTGGGCACCACATATATGCTGCAATTCTTGTGGGACGGCACTGGAGCAATGGTTGAATGGAAAAAAGGCATCTATGCCTTTCGCTGTGCCAATGATTTGGAGAGAGCCAACAGATCATGTTAGTAATTGTTACTTTTGTATGGTGCCTCCAATTGTAAAAGGGCTAAATAAGAAGAAAAAGTTATCTGTGCACTATCCAAATATTCCATCGGCAATACGTCCAGTTTCCTCATGGAGAGGGGCTACCAATTCCTAAAGCACCAGAATCCTTCGTGGTTGAGTCAAGTGAGGAAGAACCTGAAGTGTGTAGTCACGTGCAGTTGTAAGAGATAGCCCTTTCCTCGAATACAAGAGAAAAGCCAAGAGAAGCAAAACCGACACAAACTGAAGACAAAACTAGTGAGAATCCTAAGTATTAAAATGATTCAACTTAGCTTATGGCTATAATTTTTCTTGGTAATCCTATGCAATATATTATGCCATTTAGGCTTTGTTATGTAGTCAATATCACTTGCTTTATATTTGTGGAAAGACATCTATCTATATAATTATTGTGCATTATGTAGTCATTACGCCTATAGTAGAAAACTTTCCGTTTACAGAAAAAACTAGAGCCAATTGACAAATTTCATTGTTATATTTGAACTCAGAATGTGAAATTCATTAAGAAATGAATCCTTTTGTTTCCAAAACTGGCAAAAAATAAAAATTTGTTGAACAGTGTAATGCCTCAGCTATCACACTGCTTTGAGTTTTTTTAATCATCATTGCTTTGAGTTTTTGTTTATTTTATTTATGATCAGCAGCTCCAACTAGTGCCCATAATGCAGTATTTTCCTGAAATACTGAAATTATAAAAAATACCCCATTATGGCCACTAGATGGAGCTGACTTAAGAAAAAAGTGTTGCCTAAAGGTGGGAATATATGATTAGATAATCGACCGACCGGTCATCCGATGACCGAGAGGCGTTCGTTCGTTGGTCGAAAACGTTGCCCACATTAACCAATCTAAAAAAATCGTTCGTCGGGCAATACGTAGTGTTAACGTCTTCCGTACAAGTGGAAGTGATGCGGTGTGCGTGTGACCTTGTAGCCACGCCCTTCTGGCCAGAAATGAGTGATATACACGACAATTACCAGCAATGAGTATAATATCATTTATGACATTATCTATATACATAAATAGTGATACATAAAAATATATAAAATATAATCTGCAGAATTCCGGTTTCATGATCTCATTAGGCCGATCAACTTTTAACATTTGGATATTACGTTCGTGTTTCCGAAGATTCCTCGGACATAAGCATCCGAGTCATCTTCTGTTTCCGCTCATGCGTGATAGCGCTTAATAGATTTTTTTTCGTATGACCGTCATACCACCGCATAGAAAATCGGTAGTTCGTATGCGAAACGACAAAATTTTCACTGTTGTTCAACCGGATTTTTTTGTTCACAATATCGTTATCGGTTTAAAACATTGTGCTCATCAATGAAAAGAAAATCATTCGATCGGTGGTCCCGCAAAATTTTTCAGACGATTTTCTTATCGTGTGTACAGGGCATTAGGATACAGTTTAGACGTAGCTGTCCTACAAACTTGTCCTAAGCAAGTCGTCTGGTTGACCTCCGGGATGAGCACCAGATATGTTACATTAACTCCACCCAGGGGCGGAATGACAACTCATGGGGCCCCCGGGCAATAGGTGATCACGGGGCCCCTGTGTCCTTGCCCAAACTCAAAAAAGCCTATAAAAAAAAGGTACCAGAGGCATCTCATGGGGCCCCCTACTGACCCCGGGCCCTTGGGCAGTGCCCGAGTGCTCGAATGGTCAGTCCGCCCTGTCTCCACCCCGAGTCACCAATTAGAGTCCTCACCCATCCATGTTTGTCATCAAGCACTATTAGCCGTTTAAAGTCCAAAGCTTCTCCACCTCAATCATGTAGCTCCCCTTCTAAGCTCTCCTCGTTGGCCCAATTATTTATAACCAGTTCAATGAAGTGGTAATTTCATGGTCATTCATTTGTTTTCCTATCAATTAATGACCAAACTGAATAAGTATATGTTTTATTTGGACCCTTAAAATTTGTAAATGATGGACAATACTAGTTCTACCAGATCTTCCTCTCACCAATAGCCCAACACCACCATTGTCCATCACAATCAATCAACCATTAGTCGAAACTTTTCCAGTAAAGAAAAAAAGTTGGCATTGCTCATTTATTTGTTTCTTTCAGGTATTTATAGAGTGCCGTCAATTTATGCAGTGCTTTACATTCACATCAGTCCCAAACCCTCAAGGGGTGTACAATCTAAGGTCCCTAACTCACATTCATACATACACATACTAGGGACAATTTAGACAGGAGCCAATTAACTTACCAGCATAATTTTGGAGTGTGGGAGGAAACCCATGCAGGCACAGAGAGAACATGCAAACTCCAGGCAGGAGGTGCCATGGTTGGGAATCAAACCAACAACCCTAGTTCTGCCAGGTGGAAGTGCTAACCATGTAGCCACTGTGCTGCCCTATGGCCACCAACAAAATTCCATCTGCTAAAGTGTGCAGCTCAGTTTACAATCTCGGCATGCCTTGGGTGCCAGAATGAATTGGGTAAGACTTGGGTGCCAGAATGGGTGTGCAGCTTCGGGTGAATTGGGTAAGACTTGGGTGCCAGAATGAATTGGGTAAGACTTGGGTGCCAGAATGAATTGGGTAAGATTGGGTGCCAGAATTAATTGGGTAAGACTTGGGTGCCAGAATGAATTGGGTAAGACTTGGGTGCCAGAATGAATTGGGTAAGACTTGAGTGCCAGAATGAATTGGGTAAGACTTGGGTGCCAGAATGAATTGGGTAAGACTTGGGGTGCCAGAATGAATTGGGTAAGACTTGGGTGCCAGAATTAATTGGGTAAGACTTGGGTGCCAGAATGAATTGGGTAAGACTTGGGTGCCAGAATGAATTGGGTAAGACTTGAGTGCCAGAATGAATTGGGTAAGACTTGGGTGCCAGAATGAATTGGGTAAGACTTGAGTGCCAGAACAAAGGAGCTCCAATCAAGATGGACAATACTGCTGAACCCAAGAGAAGACCGGATGAAAATGTCAGAGGTAATAAGGGAGTTTGGAGAAACATTACTGGATGAGAGGTACATGCAGTGGATTTTCTGATGATACTTTTTGCCCCTTACAAGTTGGCTATTACATGAGGTCATATGGAATTTGTTCTATAAATTTACCTTTAGCCAGTCTGCCACAATCACCACACTGGGATCTTTGAGAGCGCTGAATAGCTGTTTAGTGGCTCTCTTCTTCTCCTGCCGATAATTCTTCTTCTGCACCTACAAATAAAATAAGATGATCAGTCACTGAATAGATATGTGCATTCAAAATTTTACAGACAACCTTACATTTCAAGATTTTTGGGTTAAGCTCGACAGAAACTCCCATCCATGCAACATTGATTGAGTGTGATGTCCAGTTTCTGGAATGTATCCATATATGATGCGAATCCTTTAAACCAGTGGTCTCTGAACTGTGGCCTGAGGGCTGGAAGGAGGCCCCTTTCTTGCCTTTATCCTGGGGCACTGATTCCCTCCACTGACACCAATAATGGGGCACTATTCCCTCCATTTACACAAACAGTGGGGCACTATTCCCTCCAGCGACACCAACGATGGACACTATTCCCTC